CTCTGTGTGCAGCTTGCTGCCCATTAAGCTCTTTCTTCTTCTGTCACTGGCTCTCAAGGTTTTAGCTCCTTTGGAGTGAAATAGGACTTTCTGCAGTTTCACAAATGTGTTCTTGCAGTTGTAATCAGTTAAGAGGAGGTTTACTAAGCCCCTGGGCATGGCGGTGCACGCCTGTAGTCCCAGCACTTGGGAGGCAGAGGCAGGTGGATTTCTGTGAGATCGAGGCCAGCCTGGTCTACATAGTGAGTTCCAGGTCAGCTGAGGCTGCAGTGAGACCCTGTCTCCAAAAGCCAAAAAAAGGGGGTTTACTGAATTAGGGTCACCCTAGATCCAATGCTGGGGTTGCTATAGGAAGGGAGACAGAAACATCAAGAGCAAGAAACAGCTGGGGAGCCATCATGAAGAAGCCCCAGGAAGTGGAGGCAAAACCCGGAATGTGGCACAGGCAGCACCTGCCAGAGCCACCAGAGTGGAGGAGACCAGGGCCCCCACAGCCTCTGGAGGAGCATGGCCTGCCCCACCCTGGACATGTGGCCCCTAGAACCCAGATCGGGGCTCTATTGTCAATCACCAAGACTGTGATATTTTGTTTCATGGCCTTGGAAACCTGTGTGTACTTCCTGTGTGCCACGTAAGTATTTCCTAATAAAGAAGCAACAGATAGAAAGATAGATAGATGATAGATGAATGATAGATAGATAGATAGATAGATGATAGACAGATGATAGATAGATGATAGATGGTAGATAGATGATAGATGAATGATAGATGATAGATAGGTGGATAGACAGACAGACAGACAGACAGATGACTGTCGTATTGGGGGGTTGAACCTAGATTCTTGCATGCTAGGCAAAAGCTCTACCGCAGAGCCACATCCCCAGTTCTAGTTTAATTTTCATTTCAACACAGGGTCTCACTAAGTTGCCCAGACTGGCCTTGAGCTCATTCTGAAGTCCACATCCCCTTTGAACTTTGAATCCTCCTGCCTCTGCTTCCTAAGTAGCTGGGATTACAGGATTTTGCCACCAAGCCTGGTCAAGAAAAATTTAAAGACATCTGAAGCATGCTTGTGGCTCCACTTGCTTTCACTGAGCTGAGCCTAGAGCAGAAAGCCCAGGACTCAGAAAACGGAACAAACAAACCCAGACATGTGGACTTGACTACACTTTGCAGGACAGGAAGTAGATCAGTAACTCGGGGAGACGAGGAGGGTTCTGTGGAGTAGCACACACCCTCCTGTGACTGACTCGGGCCTGGTGAGCCTTTGACAGCTGTCTCTTCACCCCAAAGCTGTGTCCAGGACAGAAAAGCAGGCAAGACTCCCTACCTTTGGAAGACAGCCTGGAGACAAAGCCCTGTCATCTCAGTACCTGGATGACTGAGGAAGGAAGATCTGGAGTTCTAGGATAGCCTAGGCTAACTCAAAAATTAAAAAAAAAATAAGGGGTCTGGAGAGATGGCTCAGTGGTTAAGAGCAGTTACTGCTCTTGTGGAAGACCTGGATTCAGTTCCCAGCACCCACATAGCAGCTCACAACCATCTGTAACTACAGTTCCAGAGGATTCAACAACCTCTTCTGGCTTCTAAGGGCTCCTGCAGGCACACGGTGCACATAAACTCATGCAGGAAACATACATACACATAAATAAAAATAAATGAATCTTTAAAAATATAACTCCTGCCAGGTGTGGTGGTGCACGCCTTTAATCCCAGCACTTGGGAGGCAGAGGCAGGCGGATCTTTGTGAGTTCAAGGCCATCCTGGTCTACATAGTGAGTGCCAGGACAGCTGGGGCTACAGGGAGACCCTGCTTCAAAAAGACAAAAAAAAAAAAGCTAACAGAAAGTG